CGAATTAGCACAGGCTCAAGCGCTCACGGTAATAATCTAAAAGCTAATTACATTCGATTCAAGGGTTCCTGCATGGAGTTTCTTTAATTGGGGAGTGCTCTAAACAGGTAATGGGGATTATCGGGTTCACCTATAGAACCACATTTGTGAGTGGGTTACCAAGCTATAGGATCACCAAAAAGCTCTCTTCACCCTTCCAAGCTGGCTGGAAACACACACAAACACCTATCATTGAACGTGGAATGTGACCCTCACCCAGAAGAGTCATTCGATGATATTCATAACTACAACCTGCGCTTGAAAATCGGAAATCAAATGTCAAATACTGTCCATGTCCTTCCGCTTCAGCAGCCTCCAACAGTGAACATCTACCGCCCCTACCCATCGCCCTGCCCAGCTGAACATCCAAGTGACGTTCCTCCAGTGTCGCTCGCGCGTGATACATGCGAGCATCGCTGTTCACACCTCATGTCGCGAATGCGGGAGGATCCCCTGTGCCTCGCAAAGAGCCCAGTGGGAATTAGTAGGTAAAATGTCCGAACCTTAATTAAACACTCCGAGCCAGGAAAAAAAGACACATGAACAGAATTGACCAGGACCTGCCAAGATGCTTGTCTCTTTCTACCTGGAGCCTGGACTCATTTTCGAGCATTTGTGCAAGGCAGAATGGGGGTCCACATCCTCTGCACCGAACCCAGCAAGCAAAGGATCCTCCAGTTGAAGACATCTTCGAATGACTGAGGCGAAGATACCTTCTAGATCCTTCTAGTTATTTCTAGTTCATAGTTTCAGTGCGGACGAGCAGCCGAAGGCTCTCTGACGGTTGTGGAACTCTCGTGCTTCGTTCACATCCACATGGCAAAGCTCGAGCATGTACCTTGCAAAAGCTTGGATGCTCAAAAACTAGGGCAGCAAACGTGGAAACAACTATACATATTAGTATGGGCACCATGTGTTACTTAAAAAATGTGTCAAAGCACTGATCTGGGAGGGAGCTTCAGCAGTGTCGAAGAAGTCTAACTGGCAAAACTGCAGAATTTAACAGAATAATACCAAAGAAACTCGTGGTCACCTCTAGTTGTATAAGCATTTGTTATAATTGCCCAGGGTCTAACCTTCTTTTGTATTTGGTGCAAATGTATGCAAATTTGACAACGTCCATCCACCCGACCAGGAGAGTCCATTTTCCGGTCAGCTGCTGCACCCATGTGGTTCGTTCAGCTGCAAGGGCGGCTGCAAAGGCACTAGATCCAAAAGTGAATAAAGTGAACGATCTTCCAATATCTTTCGATGGGGTTATCCAAATAAGAAACACATATTTACAATGATTTATGTAACTTTATTTTACGACAATAAGACTCAAAGTCATAGACCTTCAGAAGGTGCAATCAACTCTGAACACTTGAATTCATCTCCAGGATACTTCACACAAAGCTCCCGGTAGGCCTCGTCTTCCACTGCCTTGCAGGACAGACTGTCCGACCATCGCAGGTCGAAGACAACACTACAAAACCCACTTTTGCAGGGGTTGAAGATGGTTGAAACCTTTCTGGGCCTGTGTGCTTTCATGTGACCGCAGTTCCAGTCGAATCAAGTCCGTGAAATATGTTCCTACGTGAAATGATGAGGAGATGTCCCCCGTCATCTTTTTGGAGAATTGACTCATGCTGCATCTACATGTCGCAACCTGCATCGGCCACAGGAAACATGCACCGGCATGAGCCATCACTTTACTTGGAAAAGAATGTCCTGTCTTTCAAAAAAGCAAACACTTAGAACGTCTGTGTTTCTATTTTCTATTGCCCTCTATCTACATCGATGGTCCACAACTTCCACCAAATCATCCACTACCCTGCTTCATTACCAAAAGGACAGTTTTCGAGACGAGCTCGTGTACCCCTTCCAGGAAACCGCACATGCACCAAAAGGACATGACCCTCATCTCCGACACCTTGTTGAAGACGAAGACATGTACTGAGACCAAGGACCCTGTTCATCTCAAAAACCATCTATATACGGATCTTCCTCGATTTCCCAACAGCCACGAGATGCCACTGTTTGCTTATCCATGAGGGTTTGTGCACGTGTGCCAGAATTCACTGAAACTAGTTACAGTAAGTGAAAGGTTTTGGTTTTGGTGAATGCTTTTTCCCCTGGCGCTTCGTTTCAAAGTCTCCCGCTCAACCCCACCTTTCAAAGTAGTGCTCCCCAACAAATGGCCCCATGCACCGAACCCTCCGTGGCAAAAATCATCTTGACTGCCCCCACACCTTGGGGCACTGATAGGCCTCGATGGCAGCGGAATAGATGTTGCAAAGCTCACGCCTGGAGCCCAGGCTTTGCTCTGCTTTGCCTGAGAGTCCAGAGTGAGCGCACTAGGTGAAGGTAGGAAGTGGTTCATAGTCCATAATGTAATGATGTTATCTTTGCAATTAATAATATGGTCGTGTCCAGGCAGTGAACTCATTGAACTGATCCCGGGAATTAACCTGGAATGAGCAGGATCAAGAGTCTAGCATGGATCTTCGTCGTGGACAGGTGAAACAAAGAGGAATGGGGACGGAGACAGGTAGGACAAGCGTAGATCACCGCTTGCACAGCTTTTGATGGCCTGTACGAACATCACAATTCAAGTCACAACCTATGGGAACGCCTGCAGGCTTGCTTGCTTCCTTGCGTGCGTGCTTGCCTGCTTGCTTGCTTGGTTTATATCATTCACGGTGAACCCTCCCACGCGGTTTGCAAGTCTCTCTGGAATTAGTCAGCTTGCTTTAATCGAGCTAGCATAACCTCCAACATGGGAACTTCTTGTTTGCCTTGCCAGGGGCCGCATGTGTTTCGAATGGAAACCCCCAAGTCACCGGCAAGGAAGACACCTCAGTGTCTGAGGGTCTTCTGCTATCAAGAGAGCCATGTTCTTGTTAAATGCTACCTGGCAAGGAGGTCATGTGTCAATGCCACAGCACCTACCAGGTGTGTGTCAAGTACAAAAGCAATCCTTGCAGCAAAGTTGCGAACAAGGGTAAGGATTCGGGGGCCATTGCCAGCAGCTCCTGCGCATGAAAACTGTTTCCTGCTCCAACCAGCTTGAACCGCTGTGGTGTGTGGAAGATAGCTTGATGAAATGTAGAGAAAACATCTCTTCCTCAAAGCACCTGATTGAATCGAGCGTGAGACGGTTGAGAATCAGCCACCAAGAGTTGTTCCACATCCGACAGTACTCAGTACGTCGAAGTGAAAAGAGATCCACTTTGACCATGTTTCTCCATCAACTTGACATTCAGTCTTGAGTGATCCCGCAGGCCCAAAAACGATGTCAGGCAAATTGAACAAGTAACCGACCAGTTGCGACATCAAGCCGCCAAGAGTTTGGGGATTTGGCCCCCTTTGGATGTTTTCACTGGAGCAAGTAGACCGTAGACTCCGTAGACCGTTTTCCACAGCCCTCTGTACCCTCCCGTACGCATCCGCACCTTGCAGGGAGGCCAGCATCATGGTCTTGGCCTGCGGAACGTAAGAGAAGGGTTGACTGAGTTGCAGGAAGTGAGGCTCCCAATCACTACACTGTACCAAACACATTAGCGAAGAATCCGTAAACTGGTCATCCGCAATCCGGAGTAATTATTGGAACAAACTAGAATCACCGTAGAAACGGGGACAGGACCCTTGAGCTAAAAAACAATGCACACACCCCTCTGGACTCCACGCACTCCATGAGCAGACTAAGACTCTAAGACTCTAAGTCTAAGACTCTAAAACTTTGAGTATATACAGTAATAGTTTATGTAATATCTATGTTCAGACCCAAATCAGTCTTCTAAATTGTCAAGGGTCCAAAACCCTAGTCCACCAACTGAACAGTCGCAGTTTGATTATTTCCTTATGTTTTGGATTTGGAACATTCTTCTGTCTATGGCAAAGAATCGCCCAAACACTCATTTCACCCCTGCCCTGCGTGCCTCTGCCATGGCCTCAGACCCAATGGGCGTGGAAGGTGGCCATGGAGACACACTTTGACATCCCGTGTTTTGGGGGATAGCAGGCAACACGACGTCGGTGTTAGTTAGCGTATGTTAGCGTTTAACAAGAACATGGATATGTGAACAAAAGAACGCTATCTTGATATCTTGGTGCCTACTGTATATAGTCTGGAGTAGACATGTTGTGAGCTTGGATTGCAGCTTTGCCATTCAACATCAGCAGCATCATCACCACAATCATCAGTGTTGCTCCATCATTCAAACCAACAACCCAGCACCTGGTTTCCCATTATAATGCTCCCAGAATGACACGAGGATCGAATCTCCAACAAACCGAAGGATTTCTGCATCTCCGCATTAACAACCCTTGAATCAATCTCTGCAAAGGACATTCAGAAGGACATCAATCTCTGCATCTCTGCATCGAACTAGAGATGATCAACAACCCTTCCCACACACACCAAAAAAATAAAGAAACAGACAAAAATGACGTTCGGTAACACAAACATCAAATCATTAAAAACAAACGTATGTCTTTCGATGGATTAAAGTGAGTAAAGCAGCAAAAGCCTCGGGTTTGGGGGGAAATGTTTGCCGCCTCCAACCCAAATCTGGCCGCTCCGGTTGCCCAGCTGCGGCGATCCCCTGGACGGTCCCATTCGGCGAGGTGTCAGATCCAACAAAACGCGCCACGCACGCCACGCGCGCTTGGGCCACATTGGAGCGGATGTTGGAGCTTGCCAACTCACCTGTGACCTGAAAGATCTCATCCAAACTCGCAAACTGCCACAAGTACTGAGTACTGAAGTCAGGAATGCCACCTTCAAAAATGCTGAATATATACATACCAAATACTCTGTTTCTGACCAAGGCTTACAACTCCTACTGATTCCTGTGGTGATGCACCATAATCAGCATGTGTTGGAATCAAGATCCGCAAGACTGCTTGTGGAATACCGCATGTCACATATTGTCACATGACGTACAACACACCTACTGTATATACTTTGCATGCTTTTTTCCTCAGATTCTGTTGCCACGCTTCTTGGTGGCAGCAGTACTATCCGCCTGCTTTCACGGTTCGGGCTTGAAGATGGACACCTAGAAATCCAGCGGCTGTCGAACAAAAGGCACTTCATGGTGCTTCCGACCATGAAGCACTTCAATTGAGGAAGGACATCTGGATAACCCTCATGTCGCACAGTACGTTTGGCAGATCTCCTGTACTGGGGAACCCCATCTCAGGTGGACTATGTGATTTGCAGGATGTGTCCTTAAAACATTATGGAAAGATCAACACCTGAATGACTTTGACAAATAGTGGAACGACGATCAAACATGCAGTCAGACTCGTGCATTTCCAAGAAAGTATCCCTAGCATCCTTGCAGTCCGTGTCAAACACCAGAAAATCATAGGAAAACGGAACCGCCACCGTTCCGATCCATAGAAGTCACAGGCACAGGGAAATCTCTTGCTTGAAGATCAGCCTCCTATCGGGTGGCAATTCATCAAACCGCGGGGATCATCAGGGCTCTTCCAGTGTCTACGTTCTTCTTTCCGACCGCCTTTGGCATTGACCCCAATTATACTGATGGCCCAATTCGCCGGCTTCAGGGATCCGCATCGGGAAGCCTCGCCCAACTCAGCGGCTTGCTGCCTTCAGTGCCTCCCGCCGAAAACATAAATCGAAGTCCAGCTGCCTTTCTGGGACATGTCACTCGGGCGATGGAGTGTCATGTGATGTGCTTGGAGTGTCATTGTGAGGGTCGTGACTCTTCCTGTTTAGGGCCCACAACATCCCACCACACCCTAAATCCTACAGTCCCAAAAAATAGCTGAAGACCAATTTGACAAACCCTCAGAGCAGTTGCATAATATGTGGATGCATTCTTATGATTATTATATACATGTTATTACCTGGTGATGCTGCTCCAGCCACCAGAATTCTCGCCGAATCGGCTAATTTGGTGTAGAGGTTTGATGTCTTCTTGGAGCACACGCCCTCGAAACTGTTGGCTCAGAATATGCTGTGGGATCAAGATCTGAACCAGCAGTCTTGAAAGTGGGTCTGTTTTGTGAGGACGTGTTGCTCTTGAAACTCAGAGAGGTATTCCTTCTGACAGAACCAGTCAATATATGACAATTTAGATCAGCTGGTGTCCAGCAAACTTTACCAACATGTACGGATTGACACCCAAATCACAGCCTTTCACGCTTTATTGAGCATCTAGGCTCGTGGTCCTGCAACAATCAATCCATGAATGAATCAATCACTAGGACATGTAACATGTATTTAAAGCAACAATAAAACTGGCAAAGGCCGGCAAAGAGAATGTATTCCAAAATCCTTTCCTTAGAGACTCAGGCCGCAGTTCTTCCTCCTTCAAGAGAGCCGTGCCTGCGTCACTAGACGTGGCCACCACACATCGGGTCTTCCAGGCACAGGTCGTGGCCCCCCAGGAAGCTGCTCCTGAAGAGCATCTCGCGCGTGGGCTATATGTGAATGTTACTAGTAGCTTCTTGTTTTTACTAGTAAGGCACTTGTTACTAGTAGCGATGCACTTGTTACTAGTAGCTTCTTGTTACTGTACTACTAGTAAGGCACTTGTTACTAGTAGCGATGCACTTGTTAGTAGTAGCTAATTGTTTCTATTAGCTTCTTGTTACTACTAGTAGCGATGCACTTGTTACTAGTAGCTTCTTATGTGAAAAACATGCAACATCATTCAATGTTTCTCTGGCCCCTCTCCCACAAGAACGCATTTCCAAACACACGTCTCCTGGATGTTCACCTCAAAGCTTTGTAACTGGGCTGCATGCTCGAACCTGGTTGATCGGCTCAAACAACGGGAAGTAGACCTTGCAGGTCCTCCAAACTGAGATGATTTGAGTATGGAAGGGACCACATCCACTGGCTTTGAAAAAATCCCCTTGAACAGCCATCACTACTAGGGTGGAGGCCATTGCTACTACATAGCAGCAAGAAGCTACTAGTAGCTCCTGGCACTATCGACATTTCCCTTGAACACTGCTGTTGGGGAGGGGATACCGCTTTTTTCCACAATGAGGCAGGAACTCTGCACCCACCCATCTACCTGAAAAGGAGACATTGTATGCAAGGCCTTGCCCTCCCACGACTCCCACGGAGAGGCCTGGCCTGTTGCAAAGCCCCAGAATGGTCTGGACATAGTGGTCAGACACCTGTGCAAATGAGATTTGAAGAAATCCGAATCCCAATCCAAGTTCTCCTATTGTGTTTGTTGATGAAGGTCATTCCTCCATTGGGTTACTACCAAAACAATGTCGCACCCAGGGCAGGGTAAAGATATGTAAAGATAAAACCTTCCACCGCACCGCATTCATCGTGAGCAGTTGGCAACCACCTTTGTGGCCAACCGCTTTGTGGATTTCTCTTGAGATCAGTCAGATCTGAGATTCCGTCCGGCCTCGGCTTGGGGAAGTAGTCTGTCACCAGTTCTCTCTTAAGAGAGGCACTATATAACACGGCAAAGGATAAGGTCCCCCATTTAAAGAACCAAGCTGCGGTCTCCAGCAATTAACGGATGCAAAGCATGTTCCTCTAAGTCTACTATTTGGGTCCGAATGAGATCTGATAGTTTACTTCACATGGCCAATATGAGGGAAACAATCAATTTACTGTAAGTGTGCAATTGATGACCTACCCTATAGACAGCCCGGGGTTGGCTCAACATACCACAAACTTCCACACAATCATGAGTAATTATATAACTAATACAATCTTAAGATCCCAGTGCACCCAGCCTCCAAATCGTTCCGGCAGTACATCAAGTGCCTCAGGTTGGCAGTGATTGTTCCACCTTTGCTGCAAAAAAAGGATGCAACGTCTGGAGCTACTCCACATATGGCTGTGGGTGAAACTCTCGGGGCTCTGATTCCGTGTGATACCCACCTGAGCTCCCAACAACAGATCCGTTTGAGGAAACTCATCCACAAGGCTATTCGGCCCCCATTGCATCGTTATATAAGCTAATTTAATCTATAGCCAACGATTCCAATTCGACCATCTGCCCTCTTCTGGTGCCCAGGGGATGTTGTTGAGACAAAAATGGAAACAGCAAAACAGCAACAGCCAAAGACTCAGTGGTAGCATGCCCATTCTGGGTCCCTCAACAGTACTGATGCTTCAGTCTATTGCTTTGCAATACTTTGCAGCTTCCTCAAATCTATTGGCTTCATCCTCGAGCTGTCTGCATTTCAACATTGATGCCCCATGTCCTTTGGTACGGCGTTGCCGCTGCTGCGGTGGTCGCTTTTTTCACGCCTGCACCATAACCTTGGCGCTGCTCGCAGTGGCTCTGAAGCTGCATCGCCATCTCCAAGGGCTTCCGCTTCCCTACGCTGCGGGCCATGTGCTGCAGGAAGGATGGTACATGACCTGGGCGGCTGCGTTCTCGACGGAGATTGCTTCGATCAGTGTCCACTTGAGAGGATGTCATCTGTCTCAAAATGCAGCCTCACTTCAGCATGAGTAGTGTTTCGACGGTAATTACTTCCTTTTGGGAGCGTATGGATGCGTATGGCAGTTGTGTATCTAGTGACACTGATGGGCCATCATTGAGGGAAGCAAAGGGAATCTCGCAAAATAGCCAACTCCGCACTTTGGGCGGCTTGGCAGCGTTTGAAACATGCCGCTGGTTGTGCGCTAAATGTTAAACGCTCCCCGCTCCCCCCAAAAAAACCGGCTAGGACGACCAGGGACCTCCAAGTCCAGGATCCGTTCGAATCTGCACCCCTCTCTATGAAGGTCCGACACCTGACTAGCTGCGTGCTCCCATCACACTCTGCGCTGTTTTCGAACATATATTGTTTAACATCCCTCCTCGCACCAAGTCACTGCCAACATCTTTCTGTGACAGCGTCTGCAAGCAAAAGCTCCCGCGTGCTTCCCGGGGTCGAAGGATGTAGGCCTAGGATATGCCAAGCTCCGAGCAGAACCGCGACAGGTCCCAACTCTAAGTAGGACCTGCCTGGGCTGATGCGAAAGCAAACCATTGAATCCCCCTTCCAAAAAAGATCGGTTAACCTCTGATAGCTATAGTAGGCTATGTTTTGGTTCATTATGTTCACTTTCCAGGGGAAGCAATCAACCAGGGTGATCCAAGCAGTCGAGCGGCGGAGAGGAGGTCCTTGCTGCGGACCACGGTGGAACTCGAAGTGTCTGCTGGTCGCCCCAAGGTCGCAGCCAGCTCATCGGAGCAAGAACCTCAGCAAAGAAATAGAGATGGAAGGCGTGTTTGATGCAAAAATGACAATTTTGAACCATGACCATGCAGTTCGTCAGATATCTTGAGAGATACTGTTTTTGCACTCATGGCATGGAGTTTCTATTTTGATGCGAAGCTCTCATCATCACCTTGCTGTTAAAACCTCGAGTAAACCTCATCATCACCTTCTGGTGCGGATGTTGGAAGCTTGATAAAGTTTGTATTCTGCTGATGTCCTGATGTTGTTGCAAGAAAATCCTCTGGATACTTCATGTTTCCTTGACCGGCTCGGGATCTCCTTCTGATCAAAGGCTCCATGGTCATCATAGTGTTCAACTTGTGTCCCTCGACCCCCACATTCCAAAACGGTGGACGATGCAAGCCTGTTGGATGCCGCCATGAAAGAGCGATACAAGTGTGACACAGGCGTGACACATAGACACCAAAGGATACCAAAGGTACAGTAAACGTATGTCCCCTTGTGGCCAACAATTGCCTGTGAGAGCCATCTGGCTGTGAGGAAAGGATTCCATGATCTTCCAAGAGAATGGGTGGTCCTATTGTGTGGACAGTAGCGATCCAATTCAAGACGGAGGCACACATAAGAATTGCATAGCCATCACCTTGCCTCAGTTCAAAAGCTTATAACTTATGACTCCAGGAAGCAAAGCAGCATGCGGCAGGATCCGCCCACGATTTGGCCACGAGTCCGCCACATCAGCTTCCAGTCCATTCCATCACACATGCAGCTGTTCTGGAACACTACTTTCGCGAATGTGCGCAGAAAAAAGGAACTTAGTCGATAGAATCTGGAACGATTTCCCGAAACGTATTCTTGTGTGGACATGTTCCAAGTCAACCGGGGCACTCCTCAGGGAGCTTCATCAGGAAGCGCTCCTGAATTAAATCTCGATCGCCTTGGACAGCCGAAGTCGTTTCCGGTCGGCTTTGGCGGCCAGGAAGGAGGTCGGTCTCTTGGCCGGTTCAAATGACTACGGATATTCTGATCGAGATGACTCTAGGCTAGAGTGTGTCAAAGTCTTTGATGTGTCTTGAGGAAGCCATCATGGAACCGTGGGTTGTGCGCTAATTACCTGGCCAGTTGGGAAAGGGTGGTTAAAGTATGTTAAAATGGCTGCTTCCTAAGCCAAAGCACTCCAAACCGGTTGTAGGAACGCAGCATTGTCACTCCTAAAGAACTGGGAACCAATGCGAGACAGGTCGTTAAAAACTGGTTCAGCACGCATCAACTGTTCACTAATCCAACGCAGCAACTAATCCCTTGGGTTGATGGACCTTCACTTCAACCCTGAAGCCCAAGAATCGGCCTCAGTAAAGGCTTCATGTTTCTCGCTGGATTCTCCCCGGTACAGTGCTGGTTTCGAGATACCGTGCATGTGTTTTCTCATGTTTTCTCTCACCCACATGAATCCTTTCGTTGACGGAAGAATCCTGCACCACTTGCGATACAGGAGACGTGAAATGTCAGAATATTCCCTGTTGTCAGAACCTGTTCTACAATTCTACACCTGTCAGAACTCTTGGTGCAACCCCACTCTGAGCTTGAACCCACACCCCTTTCGGTTTTGAAAGCTCTGTCTGCATGGTCACTGATGCCAGGTGCAATGCTGACCCGCGAATACAAGATATCGCGCACAGCTCCACTGTCCATGACACCTCCTTGGCAGGAGGCAAGGTGAGGCTCGGTGTAAGGAGAGATGGAAAGAGGACTCTCGGACATGGGATTTTCCAGCAGGAGTAAACTTTCTATTTATATAGTCTACCAGTTACCAGGTTAAAAAGAATATCTATAAGCCTCTAATACTAGTTTTGATATGTCTTGATATGGTTTATAATGTTTTATGGATCTTTGCAAAAGCCACCAATCTGGCATTCTTCTTCAAGGTCTGGTGACTGGTGAATACTGGTGACCTCTTCCACAAAAGAACGGGCTGCTTTAGAGTGACCAAGTGTCCAGAATATAGAATCTCATGCGCCACCCAGGGGCTCTTGTCCCATTGCAAGCGCTCTGTCGGTGAGTACATCGCCCACACCACGGCATCAATGGGAAGTTCGTTGGGCGTCTGGATGACCTGGGCGTTTCAAAAAAGTGGGATGACCAGCCCCGTTTCTAGCACAAACTGAGGGTTCAGGTAGATCGAAAGGTGAATGGATTGGAATACTTCTCATTTTCTGAGGGACGTCTATGTAATTATAACATAGTTATATATATATCCCATTACATCCCGCTCTTAGAGGAATTCTGTGGGGAATGGACAAGGACCCAAACTGGTTGACCTTGAAGGAACTTCTGACAGCAATCGAAAGAGACAAAATTAGATTGTACACTTCCCAAGTCAAAAGCAAACAGTACACTTCCCAACAGGATGTGTCTTAATATACTAGCAAAGGCAATAGGTTGGGGCCTCTAAGATCTGAACACCTTCAGAATGCGACGTCAATGTTGGAATCCAAGCTCTTAGAGTCTTATATAGATTAAGTAAATTTCTATCATAGTCTATCCCTGGACTCTACAACCCAACCAAATAAATACACGGAACACCACTGGACAACCCAACATGACTATTTCTGTCTAGCAAAGGATATCTTGAATTTCATCCTTGATGCTTCGCTACACCTCCACAAAGCCGCTATCACTTCTGGCACCAAAGCCACCGTCTCGGAAATCACCACGGGCAGTGGATTCCCAGTGGTGTCGGCGAACCAAACCAAATTTGGTGGCTTCCTGGGCGAGTCAATCCAGTCTCCAAAGCCAAGGCAATTCACCATGGAAGTCTTTCTAGATCTTTCTGACACCTTGGACAACACTGCCCGAGTTGTACCTAGGGCCTTTAGTCCAGGCTGTAGTATACAAGCTCACGATGATTTTTCTTTGGCAGGTTGTCGTGTGTCCAAGAGGCCAGGAGACCCTCGTCAAACACTCTGAAGGCCGAAGAATTGCCCGTCCGAAGTTTGACAACAACCTATGCCGATGCCTGACGGCGTGTGGTATGGATCGTGACCAAAGCCTTGCATCTGTCGGACCCCCGACTGGCCAAGCGGCTGCAGTACACACCGAATGCTCATCCCATCAAATCCCTGATGCCTCCATCGTGATGGCTGATGAGACGACATCCGAGCCTGGGAGCCTATTTGTCCAGCTTGATCATTGTATTTGTATGAACACAGATTGACATGGACCCTATGTGAAGCTCACGGCTTGGTGTGCAGGATGGGATGCTGTTGGTCCTTAAAATGATAGAGCGCACCTAGCATTAGCATGGCGTTGTGCAACGAGTTCGCCAATTCGCCTTCCCCGAATAGTTGGAATGAGTTGGAATTACAAGCTTCAGCAACACCCATCTAGTGGAACTTTCTCAGATGTTTCCGCACACCCAGTCCGCTCTTTGGACCCTCTTCTCTCGCCCGCCTAGATGGATCCTGACAGGCCTCAAGCAAAGCCAAAGCCCGTGTCAACAACTCCTGAATTTGGATCAAGAAATCTGGCATGGCAACAGCTCCCTTAACGTCCCTCTTAGCAAGTACAAACTGCAAGTAAAGACTCGTTTGTTTATGTTTCTTGACTGCGCAAGTCATTCACCAGCGGGAAAAACCTTGAGGTCTGCCTTGAGTTGTTTGTGTTTAGGAGCACGGGGGAGGCTATTGGCTATTGTCATGAAATACCCCCAAAGCCCAAACCAACCCTGACACGACTGTATAATATATTTGTCCGTTTCCTCCATCCTTGTATCAGTACTTCGTCCAATTTTTGCTTCCACTCAAGATTTGTCAAGGATGTTTGAAGGTGCTCGATGTATGAGAGAGATTGTTACTTCGACAGTAGCAGCTTGAATCTGTCTGGCCCAGTCATCATGTCGGGGCTGGTCCAAACATTTTTAACACGAACTAAATCACCAGGCCCAATGTTCGGTTTCTGGGAACACACATGATTGTGAAATCTGCTGAATCCATCCGTCCTCTGGACGAGCGCGGACGACCACGCTTCGTCCTGGGCATCGGCACCAATCGGCACCGCTGCATCTTCGGCTGACTTCGCGTCTCCTGCGAGGGAGCAAAAAGCATAAGGCATACCTATAAAGACACCCAAATAAATATATGAAAAATTATTGTCTTTTTCTGAAACTCAACAAATTTATGTTGCTGGATGTAGTTTTAGACGTTTTCTGCAAAAAAATGCCCATTCATGATCATGGGTTTGCCTGCCACTTTGGACCTCAGTAGCGCAACACAAAACCGTTTCACATAATTTTGCCCTTTTGCGCAGTTTCGTCCGTGGTTTGTGTTTCTTTTTGGGACGTGTCTCTGTTTGGTATCCGCACTGCATTACAAAAATTTCCACCGCCTGACGCCCGCCCCGAGAACGATGTTTTTGTTGGAAAAAGACAAACGGGCCAAACACAAGTGCCTGGTGCCGTCGGGGTTGAGGCATGCCAGTTTCCGTGATGTGGGTGAGTTGTTCCCAAATGGGACAGGAGTTGAAACATGGCACGATAGGTTTGCAGCTTCAGATTTTAGACAACAAAACGCTGTAAATGGTGGTTTCCTCCTTTTGAGGCGAACACAGATCAACGACGAACATTCGTACTGGTTGGCGAAAGGCCCACGACCAAACTTAATCCAACAAATGGTCGACATTCAATTTAACTATACTATTAATTAGGCTATTAATTAGTCAACACTCGCTCCTCTTAAACATCTTACAACCATGTGTATGGAGCTTGTGAACATTGATGTTCATCTCTGATCCATTCACATTGGACAGTCTGTGCACTGCGTGCATCCAACTTGAACGACTTCGGGAACATGTCAATCGACAAAACACTTTTTATAACTTTCTCGCATGAATCAACCAACAGCATCTAAGCACCTCACCTACTTATCGACCAGCATTTTGCAGTAACTCATGATTCAATGAACTACAGGGCCCCAGGGCAGTAGTTATTTTCTAACACCCGTTCCTTTACCTATGTAGGGAGTTGCTGTACGACACTCAAAACGCAGTCAATTCAGTTGTAGGGAGATGTATCTTCCACCCGTGGGAGGAGGACTTGCAGCTCCCGGCGATGCATACAACGCTGAATATGGAGAGACCAAACTCAGAACTTTGGCAGTGTCATCGTTTGTCAAGTATGCTCACGTGACGACATGGAGTTTTGATGAGTTTTGGACCTCTCATTTCGACCAATGCCAGCATGCCACAGCACATTCATTTACAGTAGTTTACCAAGCCAAGACTATCCAAGAATGGTCCCAACATGTCCCAACTGGTGGTGAAATCGGCCTCTGATGCAACCCAACCCCCTGCGACGTCCGGCGACGTTTTCGCCTCTGAAGAGATGCTCCAGTTCCGGCCACCAGGTGGAGGGCCCGCTCTGCTCTGGGGCCTGAGGAACAGCAACCAACCGCTGAAGGCCACGCACAAGTTCACCTTCAGAAAGTTTGTTGACGCCTCTCAGGGAGACTGTTTGTGTGACTTTCGTATTTCCAGTTTTTCAGTCGGTGCGCAGCTGGGAGACCAACAAACACACTATATCTGGCCAAGTGCATGGAAATGCTCCAATGCTGCAACAATCACCCAAACAAGGTTGCTTAAAGGGCCAATGCTTTGGTCAACCTAAGGATGTGTTGAACTCCGGCCCTACCGAGATCTGGATGTGGCTCAGACCTAGCGTACCACAGGACATGGTGTCCCTTTCTATCAAGGCCATTTTGGACCCAAAGAATCTTGACCCACATCTGGAGATGGAAACTCGTGCATTTTTGTATGGCACCCGCGCCATCTCGCCCATTGTGGAAACATGTGGCAACCACATCCATCCATCGCCTCCAGTGGTAAAAGACTTTGGCCCCCCTTGGGCACCGTGGGGGCCACACCGCGCCAAAGCCTGATGAGACAGGCCGAGTGAATCTGAAGTCATCGATAAGTCTGAGAAGTAGAGAGGAGAGACCTGGAATGAATAATCTCTGAAGGAGGCATCATCTCCCAAGGAAAGCGTAAAATGTTTAGTACTGTAAAATCCTACGTAATTAGATGTAATTAGATCGTAATTAGTGTCTGGCTTGCTGATGACCTTTTATGGTCAACTCGGATCCAGTGTCACATCCGACCACTTCGACCGCTCCTTTGGAGAAGTTCATGGCGCGGATACTGCCTTGGTGCCGCCCAGCTTCGCGAATGGGTTCGATCCTGTCTTGGTGTCTTGGTTCGACAGCGGGGACTCTCATTCGTCATGAGTCGAAACGGCAACCGCTCTTGGCCAGTCAGGTTGCAATGGTCTGTACATTCTGACGACCCTGGTCGAGAAAGCCTCTGCAATCAACGCTAGCAAAAGTCCTTGCAAACAGCCTTGAAACCCAGAGTTTAGTCAACATAGCAGATGTCATGTGCAATGTCTTTGTCCTCCCTCCCTGCTACCTGTCCCTAATATTCAACAGTGAAGAAGCCTGGATACGGACAACAAGATTCTAACACTGGTGAGGACACCAAATGCATGCCCACACTTAGGTCCGAAGCTTAGGCCCCGTCCAAAGGCCCAAGATGTGCTTTGGGCTAGGTGTTTCAATGGGTTTGCTGAGGACAATCGTCTGGTCAATTTCCAGGGTTGTCAACATTGCGAAGATACTCTCTCCAAATGGTAGGGACCCATTGAATCATTGTAAGACCAGTTCCTTTACCATTTGGGGTCATGCCATCATATTGCATTCAATGTGAACATGAGTTGCAGTGCATATCGATTGATTCCAAATATTCATGCCATCACAGTGCCGTTTTTGGACTGGTCTGGTCAATTCGACCCTATTGGACTTCCTATTGGCTTCCCGTGGATGTTTCGGAGGTCTTTTGGGTCCGAATTTGCTCGACAGGGACGTTCACCAATTTCGTCTGGTCACGGCTGCAGGGCGACAGCGGAACGCTGTTCTCTCTCTCGGTTCAAGGCTTCTCGTGCCAAGTCCTGGCGACTTGGAGTCGACTCAAGCATGGCTCTGTTCCTTCACGCGGAAACATTCATGGGGGAATATAAACGTTCTTAGTTTTTATTGGACATGTTGAAAGAACAACACGCAACATCCCCCACAATTATATAAACCATTATAAACCATTTGTTGGCCTCCAAAGCACGGCTTTCTTTGGTCATCCAGGTGTGGGCAAACTGCTACGATCAGCTGCGTGTTAAAGGATCACGGTCGGCTTTGAAAGTAGGGATCCTGCGGAAGCTCACATCCCTTGTTCATGTTTTGCTTGGAAACGACAGCTAAATCCTGTGTGTTTTTTTGGGCTGGACCTGAAGCAACCGCTGGATGGAGCTGCAACCCCATGGCAAAAGTCCTATGGATCCCAAGGGCTGGTGAACACAAATCCCACAACTCTGACTTGCTGATACTTGCTGCCTCGACCAATGCCTGCGCAGTGAGTCAACTCAGCATTGGAAGTATCTGAAGGGGCAATTGTAGTCGTGAAATTTTGTCTCCTGAAGATGTTCATTTAGTGAGGAGGTCCATTGGATGATGCGGCGAGAGAGGAAAAGGAGGCCTGGTGCTACACTTGGCACTTCCAAGTGACACAAAGCAGGTGTGGAGTGAGTGAGGTGTTCATTGGCGCCAGGAAGTCTGCCGAGCTTACACACCAAATAAACAACTACGCAAGCCAGTGACAAACGCCTGAACGGGCCGGAACAATCAACACTCCAAACCTGGTCAGCATTCTGCCATTCTTATGGGCATCATCCAGCAAACCGGTGGAATGAGCGAAAATGGTGTGACCACGTGCAATTCACTGGTGGCATCCCCTCTCTTGTTCTTCCCGCAAAACCCCATTGGGAAGCCGGCCAGTATCTGACCATTTCTTTGGTCGTGCAGGTGTTGTGCACGTGAAGGTGAGCAGCAAAGGGCATCGCTGCCCTTGCAAGGATGAGCAGCTTGCTGTCATGCACCCACGTAATGATTGAAGTAGTGATCCGGTCACAACATCTCTACCAGTTGGCAGTCTCACGCACCAGTTGTAGTCACTCATTAGCGCTGGCACCACACGTGCATTAAAAAGAATTGCCTTTCTCCCCAAACTCCAAGACTTGTTCGATCGTTCCCCAGCCCTTTTGCAGGTCCGATGGTTTCATTCCAACCGGAGAAATGATAAGTCGGGTCTATTAAGGACACGTTTCATGTGCGTATGCTCAATCGTCTCATGACCCTTCATTCCCGCATATTCCCGCTGCCAATGCCATTTGTGTAAAACATTACAGAAAATACATGATCTGCCGTCAGAGACATTTGCAACACTAGGCCCTAGGTAAGGCAATATTGTATTGACTGCATGTTCATTCTCCACTCCACACCACCAGGACCACGAATATGTCCCCACCACACCATGGCACCACCACCGTACCACAACTCTTGACCCTCCAGATTCTGGCACATTGACAAAAAGATTGCCCGGCCAACTGTCAAAAAACTGAGACTCAGCCTGAGACCCTGGCATATCCTGGCATACTGTCTACCTGGAGCTGAACCTACCACTACGACCCCGCACCGCTTCTCCTGTGCCAACCCCCTCGAGGCCAGCGGCACCGGCGCGCCCCGAGAAGCAGCGCTTCGTGAGTGACGGCGCGCGCGGGAGCAGCTGCGCCCTGGGGAAGGATGCTCTGAATGGATCTGGGTGAGACAGGCTTTTGCTGGTCTCAGGGCCTCCCTCAGTTTCCAATGCGCTGACCCCAGATGATTGATCCGGTGTGCGGAACGGGGACGGCGTGTTCCTGGTCCGGTGTGCTCTGATATGCTCTGGGCGATGTCGGGTGGACGTCACATCGTTAACCGTTTGTTGCAGGTAAGTGGACATTCTTTCAAGGAACGCAAGAGATATGAGTAAGAATGATGGGAATACCCAACAATACAGCCGTTACTTGCTGTAACAAAATACTGTAATGAAACACAATCCATTCCAAGTTGCCAAGTTCTGAGTCTTTGTGTTTTGAATGGAAAGAGTTGGGAGTTGGGACATATATAATGTTAGAACACTGAGACTGTTCACTTCCGCCAAGTGGCAAACCAGCAGGGCCAAAGTGATGCAACATGCCAGTACCTTTGGCAGCAAACATTGGCCAAGAAAAAAACACACCAATTGCTCCCCAACACAAAGTCATGCCACATCGACCTTGGGTGACAATTTGTTTGTCTCCATCGGGAAACCCTTTTGCTCAAAGGTGGCTCCGAAATCAGAACATCTTTCAGGACATGAGGTTCTGTTTGGAAACGGGCAGCACACAAGGCAATGTACAGCAAATCTACTGGGGGCTGAGCTTGTTGCAAAAAGCAGGAAACCACCAAGCAAACCTGGATCCTCAAATGCCTTTCACATACTGTAAATAAAGTGGTTCTTGAAGACGTCGTGGTTTTATCTTCCTCCGCAGGTGAGGCATGTAGTACTCCCCCTGATTCAACTAGCCTGAATCCTCACGGGTGTATAGTGATATTTGATTATATACAGTATGGCATTTTACTGGCTAAAAAAGGTCGATCAAATCGTGTCGTATATATTCCAAAAAGTCATACCCATACACAATGACATCGAGTCCATGTCCACCTTGATGGGTCTTTTGGAGTCTAAGATATAATCAATGTGCATTGCATAATATATAAATACAATATACAGTTACAATATACAATACAATATAACATAGTTCAACAAGCACATATCAACACAAACGGGCATCTCTGCGTCCAAAGGACTTAATTATATATTCCAAGGTTGATCTTCACATGCTAACGTTTAATTCCTGGTAGAGCAAGCCTCCTACAAGTCAAGGAAACAATGATGCCACATAAGTTAAAAAGAGAACAAGCAAATGCCTTGGGTCCCTTGACTATATGTGATTGTATTGGAATCGGCAGACCTCCCAGGATTAGGTTTGGCGGTCCCATTGGTCCCAGGTTCTCCCGCTCTCCGAAGGGGTCTCCCCAACCCTACGAGCAGTCCGCAGGGCTCCGCTCAGTCGACGCCAAGCGACATGAACCTGAAAGATGTGATCTTTCTCCACCATTTTTGGCGCGACGCGCTAAATGTCGGGCTGTTGGTTGCGTTGATGTTTTGTTGCTTGTGACTGCTCTTGTTGTTTCCAAATACCTCTGAGACGCTAGATTCTGACAAGCCGCAAATCCACTGTCACAGCACTTAGAGTCAGAGTTCCAAAAGGCTTGGAGCAGGACAAGGGTTCAACGCCATATTGAGGAGCACCATTTGCTGTACTACATGACAACCAAAGCTTGCTTCGTGGCTACGCGAAGTCCAGATCGTCCATCTGATCCACCCAGCAGCGGAATGCAACGTTTGTCAAGAATGGTCTCAATGTCTCCATCCATGCTTGCCATTCATTGCCTTGCAGCTTCTCGTGTTTGGCTTTGGGCTGCTATTAACCAAAGTGCCGTCCCCTGTCAGGGTAGGGAAAACCAAATATTTAAAGCACCCAGGCATTCTTGGCTTGAGACTCTCCAAACACAAAATTTGGTGATGCCTCTACTTTGTTGTGGAATCTACAATGATCAATTTATCAACAAAGCCCGTACCCGCCTACCCACTTACCCACCATTTTATTCTGTTGATATTCGGCAATGTTTTATGGGCCCCATCTTGAACATGGTGACACAGCGCCAGGTCATCTTCTTCCAGTGATTGACACACCTGTCCGGGTTTCAGATGGATGGTGTGGCCTCCATATCTCCGCGTATGCGGCTGAACAAATACAAAGTGTGCGCACTGGTGGTGACTCTGATATTTGGCAGGCAGCGCCGCTAAGGAAGATCAAGGTGGAAACACTGAATAGGAATAGGATTCTGGAAGTCTCAATGACAGTTGGTGCCCAAGATGGGTACGGTCGTAGCATGTCCTGTTTGAGAGGGTCGTGTTATGTCCCAGCTTCTACTTTGAAGACTCCAACAGTTGGTGGACTTGCCCCTGATTTTCCTACAATTATTTGATGAAGTGCCACAGTCGGTGGACTTCGCGCACTGGTGCCCCGCACACAGATGGAAAGGGCGATTCCTCCGGCAGGTCTCTCCTCCGCAGGCACGCAGCCTTGCCGGTGACTCGTGAGTCTTCACTCGGGAATGGACGTGAAAGTGTGGTCGAGTAGACCATGTCTGCTCTTTAGATGTGTGTGTTCAATCTATTCTGCATGACTTGAAGCATCGCGAACAGCATCTGTTCAACCTGTTTCCATCTGTTAAAGTTGCCCTATGAGAACACCCAGCGTCTTTCAGGATCCCATCTTCACCTGCATCTTCGAGGCCAAGAATTGGAAACCAGGCACCTGTCGGGGCGGAAACCAGGTGACGACGGTGACGAAGGGGTCGAGGGTCCAACCTGAGATATCCCAAACCACCATCCAAGCGGATACTCATCCAAGCGGATACTGAGGATTACTGAGGTTGCTGTCCAATCTTCAGCGTTTCGGGATGTTTGGATATTATCCTTTTCCTGAATGTCCATGAAATCCACTACAGTCTCAAATCATGGAGATCAACCTCGTGTGTTTGCTTCACCTCGTATTAACCGGAACCAGTTCCACGGCGAGGCTTTCGGCGATCGGCAAACGTCGATTTGCGAAGGTCGCTGAGATGATATGTCTGAGATCGTCAAAGTTCGTTTTCGTGGGTTCCCCGTCACCTCCCACATGATCATGAAGATCAATGGACGTTCTATCATCCCTCTAATACGATTTTATGACATAGAATCTACAATTGATGGGGTCTAAGCAGTCGGTCTGTATGCATGACGGCTGAGATCCACGACGGCGCAGCAGCAGGGAACCAGCGCAATGAGCCGTTCTTGCACCTGCAAGTATCGTGATTGATCGTCTGGTATCCCAAAAAAGTCCGCTTGACGGGGAACAACAAGCCTCCTTCCTTCAGCCAGAGTGGTTCCTGGTTCCTCTGAATCCTTTGAGGATCTCTGCAAAAAATCCGATTTCCAGCTGAGGACGAGTGTATGGAGTATGGATGCATGATGAGTGCAAGGTCGACTTAAGTCTCATGAGACCACAAAGATTCTCACTGAGGCTCCAGCATGTTGGATCACTTGCGTGTGGGTCAAGAATCCATACCCTCAAATCCTCAAATGTCATGAAACTGTAGTGCAAGTCATTGACTTCTTCCAATCTTGACACAAACGTAGCTGTGAGTCAAATCCAAACACCTCCCAAAACCATGGTATTGGTTGACTGTGTCCGGTAGTTTGTGGTGGATCTATCCCTCTTACATATTTAATACCTCTTGCAAGCATCCTTTCACAATTCCTGAGCTATCGAGTGTCAGCAGGAAGATGCTCTGGCCTCTGGTACAAACCCTGAAGACCTACCACCATTACTTCGGGGGTAACCTGATGATAACTAGCGATGTCTTTCATCAGCACAGGGAGCTACTTTCCAGTATGGGTTAAAATGAGAACTGTTAAAACACAAAGTATTCCGTTTTTTATTTTGTCACTCCAACTGTGACTGTTAAATCAGAAGCAATGACACTATTCAACAGCAGGAACCACACATGTTGTTTGCGTTGGATTCAAGCATACCTGTGATGCCACGAAGTGTTGCATTTGTACCTCTTTCCAAACTCACACCAAGAAACTATCGACATCATCTATCAACCAGGCACGATCTTCAACATCCATCACCAATTACATTCAACCCAAGTCACCAGCAGTGACAAACCGATCCTTGCGGGACTTGCCGGATATATCTTTCATGTCCAAAGAAAAGTCGGGACTATAAATCAAGATGGGAAGAACTGGACCTCCTTGGCATATCAACAAATCCATCGCTGCCTAATTGCTTGCTTGTCTGTTTTGAAAAAGGACCAATAAAGTTGGAAGTCCTAAAACAAGTGCTAGGCACAACACAACATGAATGTGCTGAACATGCAGTGGTTCTAAAGTGTCCACATAGAAGGATAAAAGTAATGCTACATTTCTCTATGCCTTTTGTCTGCCCTCTTCGACTCAGAAAGCTTGTTCGTACCATGTCTCCAAACATGGATGTTAGTTCTATTGATCTCCCAAAGTTGATCAAATGTCCTTAGCCAATCCTGGAAATCCCTGTTTTTCCTGCTGTTTCGCTTTCTTATTGCTGTCTTCCTCGGAAAGCTGGTGCATCATTAAATATACATCTTTTGTTTACAAAGCCATTCAACGGGTACTCACAGCAACGTGACAGGTTGCAGTTGGACCGCTGTGGAGTCATCCTTTTGGGGACTCAGTTCACCAGCACGGCCACACGCGACCAGCGAGGAGCCTCTGGAGGAGCAGCACCAGACAAAGTGGCAAAAGCCTCAGAGTTGGAAAATAGGAATCCACAAACCTTTCATAAAATGGTTGGGTGATTTATGAATCTAGTTGCTTGGATCTGTACAAATAGGTTGAATTCATAACCGACCACACCAAACAAACAAACAAACGGATCTTTCTGAACCATTCTCTGTTGAAAGGACGAACTTGGTTGTGAGATGATGTGTTGGGTTGTTGTGGGTAATATTTTCAGTCCAGTACCCCAACTGAACTCTCTTAAGACTCTTGGTGTTGAAGTTTGATCCACACAAATGACATCAAATGAATGGATCTGAGAAGAGGGATTACACCCCAGCACAAAACCATTGGACAGTCGGTCAACACCCAAGAAGGCCATGCCATTGGGGCTATGCACATCCAAGAGAAACGCTTGTGAGTTTGGCTCTTCCCCAGGTGGTGCAGGTTGCCATGACTCAACAACACATTTGAACATCCCAAAGGACTTGATCACATGAACCAAACACATGTGTCTACTGATGAATTGAACCCATCTGATCTATCCTGTCCAACCTCCACTGTCCATCCTCCCTGGACGCTCACACTGCTGTGGCTCCTCCCTGCGAGAAGCCGCCTAAGATCACCTGGTGCAAACGGAATCACCACGGGACAACGGGTGGACCATTGGTACTGTAGCCACATTGGCGAGGTGAAGTCATCTTGCCACGTCCGGTGGACTCGGCCTCTTGGCCGATCAATGCAGTTTGGGGATGATGAATGGCTATATAATCAGGGCCTTCACCAAGAATAGCATGTTTAAGCGACTGTTACAGTGAGTAATGAGTAGGATAAACTCAAGCACAGTTGATATAATCACTTTACCATCCCAAAGTTTGGTTCTCTGGTGCCCATTTGCAAAAATAATATGTGCATGTTAAAGTGCGAAGTTAAGGCAAAAACTGCACAACAACACATGTTGTGCAATCTGGACAGAATGCGGTTGAACGCGTCGATCATCAAACAAGATCTTGCCCAGTGTGAAAGGGAAATCAATCAAACCCGGCAAGTGATACAGTACAGTCCTCCGTCCTGCAAAATCATGTGACTACGTGATGAAACAAACTTGGCCTCCTTTCTTGTTATATAGATAGTTTGCATTTTCACACTCACACCAGCAAATATGGCAGCGTAGTTTACCTGGAAAAAGAAAATAGGGATTGGATCTACACTACATCGTGAATCAGGATGTCAAGCATATCATATCATCATAACCATTAATATGTCACTGTCATTAATGTATACGTCAGCTGCCGAAGCAAACCAAATTGCCCATGTGATCTGCACCTTGGTCTTCGGATGCTTTGCCACCTGACGCAGGGATTGCGAGGTTGAACCAGGAGCATCGGTGTCCAAAGCTCAACGATGTCACACCTTGAACAGGGCGTTGGGAAACTATTGCGCGCTCACCACCAGCATAGTCGGTCTTGTCAACCTTTTTGTGATACATTTTTGTGGATGAGCTCACTGCAAGTAGTATGATGAGAGTGAGCAACAGCTTGGACAAAAAAAGGATCACCAATCTGTCCCTTCTAAGCACCAAGCCAAGCTCCAAATTCTGGTGGGGACAACAAGCCAAGAGCTGGGTGAAGAGCCAAGTGGGGATCCAAAGGGCAACTAGATCACTACTAGTAGCAAGAAGCTACTAGTAGCGATGCGCTTGTTACTAGTAGCGATGCACCTGTTACTAGTAGCTAGAAGCTACCACTGACTTTGATGATCTTAACGAGCTTCAGAAGGGGCTTCACTCTATCTTGGAAAGCACTTGAGACCATCTCAACCCATGTATCCATGTTTCAGACTCAGGAAACCAAGAACGGACAGGATCCAGGTATGAGCCCATCAATTCCCAGGCATCACAGGACTTTTCGGGAACCAGGGCAAGCAGTTGGCAGGGTATATTTCAAAAGGTTGATGTTTGATTTGTCTTCGGAACCAGTGGTTATACTATACAGCACCTACCAAAAAAAGATCCCCAAGAAAGGATTGATGATCAACTTCCTGAGATTCGCTCCAAGCCACCCAAATCCTCACATTCTGGAGTTGCGAGGCAAGCCATCAGCAATGCAGGGTCCAGATGTGTTTTTATACACATTCCGCATTCCTTTAGAAAGTTGTCCATTGGAATTAACTTCGATTGCTGGTTCCACAGAGAAAGAAGCATGCAATACACTGTTAGGGATGACCACATTGTTGTCGTATGACGCCTCCGCTTGGAGCAAATTGAAGAGCTGCTTGCAACCCACCTGCCGCGAGCCGAAGTCACGGCACATGGCCACGACAAATTCAGCAGGAGCAATTTTGCCGCATGTGACACTCACGATAAATGAGGAAGAAATTGTCAATTCCGATGCAGTGACTCCGAAATCGCAGTACAATGCGATGACGTGTAGAAATGTGTATCCCTTCTAACTGGAGTTTTGGTGGGTTTTTGTAGATTTCCCTAGGCCCCATTAGTTGTTGTATAGTTGCATGAGAGCACAAATGTGACGCATCGTACAGAAGTTTCTTTGACCAAGTGAACTTGGTCCAACATGTCAAAAGGCTTGATGTTGCAGGGAAGTTGGAGCAGCTTCGTATAAGCGATGCTACAAGACTCATCATTAAAAGTCGTCCATTCTACTTTTGCAGCAGCACATCCGCTACCCCGCAAGTGTCCAATTGCCGGTGTAGATAGGAAAAACAAGTTCAATTCGCATAGGTGTACATATATAATATATAGAGAGAGAGAGACAAAGAGATTCCTATCCACTTCCTCATCCTTATTTGTAAAAGGCTTGTGAAGCATGGTGACCCTGTTCGGTCCAGTCATTACCACACCTCAATCTCTTGCATGCACTGGAGCTCCTGCCAAACAGCTCAACAGGGCAAGCCATATTTATATAATATGCGTCACATGAGGGGTCGCTGGAAGAGAGCGATAAGGCTGTTACCACTGCTACACCTGCTGAGTGAATCCATCATCCTGAAGGATCTGTAAGTCGAGCCATTCTGATTCCTCCTGTTGTTCAATCGCATGATGGCGTGGGCGGTCTTCTTTCACTTCCTCCGATTGTCCAAGCCTTGGTATTCCATGTTACACATTGAATTGTTATACCACAAAATAGGTCCTAGACTGCGTGCGGTCAATCTCTACTGTGTGATTTTTGAGATTTGGCAAGTGCAACATGACTTGATGGCTCTGGAGAACCAACTCTTGGCAAGAAAGGCTCCAAGCCATTAAGCCTGGGCTCAGTATACTCGGTGCTCTTGATTTTGGGCTCCAGTGTCGATTATCTTCGTGCGGGTGTGGGTGCCTCCACGCTGGGACGGCCAAAGGAGAGGTTCGTCGCCGGGTCCTGCACCAGCGGCGTACGTAAGACACAGCGGCCGAGCATCAACTTGCAGAACGAATGAAACATAGTGAAACACAATGGAACAAGATGGGCATCGGCCATAGCTCATAAACAAAGTACAATCCAACCCGGAAAGAAACAACATACAAACATCTGAAGGCTCACACGCACTTTTTGAGCCACCCACTACGGAGTCACGTGGACTGAAAAGCAGTCAAACCCACGAGGCGCAACACTAGTCAGCCGACCAATCGACACCGGCGGCCGTATCCAACGGCCGTCCTTGGCAGCTTGGGCGATGGCCTGGCGAACGGTACCGTGTCGGCTTCAGTGCCGACCGAACTTGAGAAAACCCGTGTCGGCTTCAGCTGAAGATCTGAAGATGCATGGCCCATTCTCAGGCTTTATCGGTTTCATACTCAACTTGACGTCTTCCGTTTGCTGATGTTTGCTGCACGCGACAACAATTTGGGGGTTCCCTCGTCAAATCAGTCACTTCACACATTCTAGGTGGTCGTTTTCCTTTGTCTCGTCTACAAGATCGGCCAAGATCTAAGATCACTATGAACTATGTATAGTCAGTATGTACTTGCTTGCTTTACCCTAATGATTAATCTCACCCTGCCAGCCACCAGGGGGGGACCAAAAAGCAGGTTGCTTGCTTGAGACAGCAATGGTAGAAGCACTCTGAGAAGACTAAATGTACTCCCTCAAGACCTTTAAGTGGAAGTAATTGCCATCACTAAAAAGCAACCTCTTGATTATTGAAGGACCCGGCCTCATTTTGTCCTTGTTCAGGTACGGGTAGGGGAAATTGAGGAATTGGGCTCAGCGTTTGCTAGTGCAAAGGGGCGCAACCTCTTGTTGCATGGTCTTTGCTGCACTGAGCGGAGAATAACCAGTACTGACAGTCAAGTTTTGAGGTGTAATTATACAATAATCATAGGATGCAATGGGAAGGACATGGTATTGCAAGCCAGAACGTGGGCACTGAAACAAATTCCAACCCTAAGCCCTAAGGAATTTGTTCCAGCTCAGGACAGCACGAGTTGTCCCATTGCAGTGACTCACCCGTTGTCCGTCCCACAAATCGGCTGATAAACTTCATCCCAAGACGACAAAGGCATCAAGAAAGGATGCCAAGTTGGGTGGATGATGGATTGTTCTGAAACCATAAGGCACGGTGATGACGAAACGTGCGAGAACACACATAGAATAATGATCCGATCCGCCGCGCCCAAAGAATAAGTTGTAGTTAATCTCATTTGTGGAAGCACCCTCACAAACAAAGGTAACCAACAACTACGTATAAATATTTAAAAACTGAGGTCCCGAGCCCCCCCCACCCCATTTGGCACACTTTGGCATTTTATTGTACCCTTGGACATCATTGCGACCCAAACCGGGATCTTCTGTCACGGTTGCCCTGGAGTTGTTCACTCCCACCGCTACGTCAAGCCTCATCAGTCGGCATATCATGCCTAGGTCTCTGGTTGGAGGATCAAGTCAAGGACGCCCTGTTATAGACATGAAGTAAGGCCAAAGTACAATTGCTTTTGAAGATAAAAACAAGTAAGAAGAAAGCACCACAAAGTGGTGTCACAGTGTCACATGCTTCTGACTGCTGGTGCAGGAATCATGAGGACCCGCGTAATGAACTCACAAGGGTTAGTCGGCAAAAGTTGATCAACCGAAAATAGTGCCAAACCTCGCTGGATACTCGCTTTGTTTTGGTGGTGGCTGTTCTGCAAAGATCAGCAAGAATAAGGAAGCGTTGAGGGAAACCACACTCACTTCCTAGCTCTATTTTGCGACAAGAGAACGGAATTCCGCCTGAGACATCCTTTGGACAGGAAGCATTGCATACCACAAAACAAAGTTCTTTTCGTCGATTCATCCCGGCGACAACTGCCGTGCTCTGGAAGGTACAAAGTACAAAAGTGTATACAAGCAAGAACTACAGTAGTTGCTCTACCAACACCACCACATACCACCATTTAGGGGGCCCAGGTGGTGGACAGGCTTATCATCTTCAATCAACTCGTCAAGGGGTTGCCAGCCACTCCCGCGCACCCGTTCACCCAACAAGCAGCCCCCGGCAAACAGTGAAGGTGATGGCCCCCTGGAAACATCTGGAAGACGGTCTTTTATGTCTTTTTCGACCCTTCTCCGTCAAACACGTTTGACCTCCAACATCTCACACTTCGACTTGGATGTTGGTCGCTGTTCCGAGAAACCGACCCTTGTTTCCAGAATGAGAGAACATCGCACGCCGAGGATCTTCACCACACGACCGGTGCACGGTCCAAACCCACTCTGTGACGCGTTTTGTTTCGCAGAGTCACGAATGTCCCGTTGGGCCGAGCGACATTTCGTACCATTCCATGCCCCGTGCCACTGTGGCCTTGAGACCGTTGGACGACATGGTAGGGGAAAAAAAACAAATGTCCACAGTGGTTTCCCATATGCATATGTTGTCACTTCAACTTCAACAGAACCGCTCGCACTAGCTTGCGCATTTGTCAGATTTTCTCCACATACTTCCTTGAGGTTCCTTGCTCAAGTGGCTTGTGCCCTAAGTCTTTCAGTATTGTTGTTCCACTCCAATTGTCGAAACTGTACCTTCCAACGATCCACACATCGTCGACCTGTCTGACCAGCAGGAACATTTTGGACTCCCAGTGCTATACTGATTACAGGGAAGTGAACAGAATAGTCATGGATAGGCATAAGTAATCCTCCGGAAAATGTTGATCGATCCATATGGGTACTACACTAAGTATAGCTTCTGGATTGTGTCTTGCATCTCATTTTCCCAGTCTCACCTGGCTACTTTCATGTGGAAGGGTGTGGATGTGCTTTTGATGCCCATGATTGCGGTGTGTGGAAGATGACTTCCGCTCTTGCAAAAACTGCGCCATGGACGTCTTGAAAACTATCTCCTTGGTAGGAGCAGTAGCAGCACCCATCGGGGAGGAACTTCTGTTATGAAAGGGGGTGCCGAATGCAACAGTTGGTGCAAGGTGTGTCGTGTGTTCGACATGGCTTCACCCAAACCAGTGTGGATCCACCAGTCCACCAGATTCTGGAATTGTTCAATGTTGCCGTCTTCGTACAGAGCACATTCTGAGCGCTGGCAGCAAAATTGCACATGCTTCGGCCTACAGCTGGCCCCAATTGATATCGAGGAATGGGTAATAATATACATGTCGGATCTCTGATTATCCAGAGTGAAAGGTATTTTTTAGTGCGTTCATTGTTCATGCAAGTAATTACTAACACTGAAGCTTTCCTACAGTATCGGATTGATATTTTTCTTCAGAAACAACAGAGAGCAACAGAGTTGTGATGGAAGTACATAAACATACCTAAACCATAGTCCAACAGCAAGTTTGACCCTGAGGCCAACCACATTGACCTTCTTACCTGCCTTGTCGCTCCAAGAATGCCACCCACCTGACTGGTGCAAAGGTCCGGGGTCTTGCACGATTCGTTGGAGTGAATTCAGCTTCCGAGAGTCCGTTTCCAAGAAGGACTTCGTGTCTTCCTATTTTTAAACATACCCAAGAGGGGGCCTTCAAAAAAACGGGACGGCCACGGATTTGAGTCAATGAAGCGCAGGCAGGGCACAATCAATCTGCGTTTAGGGTTTCGCATCAATCTGCGCTTACATGTGTTTGCAGCAAGGCCAAGTACAGTGATTGACTATGGCACTTATCACTTATCCCAAGAGGTTGTTTCTGTGGATTCCATCCAGCAATTACCATGCCCAATGCCGCACTGTGCAGTGAGGTCCCAATCAATCTTTCATCCATTCATCCAGTGCACTTCGAAGCATCTGTTCTTCTAATGGCTCTGCCCTGACATGTTTTCTCTTCGATCAATTCTGTCTTGTGAGACAAACAGGTTGTTTATGCTCCACGGTGGTGCCTGCAGGTCTCTCAGTGACCATGATCCGCAAACCTCCCAGGTCGCGGGTTTGCATGGTGCAGATGGTGGTATGATGTTGGCTATCGCTTTGTAGCCGAGCAGGATCTGGTCCTTTGGGTCCTTCTATACTATCCCCGCCTATGAATCCAACATAGTCCAATCCAACTACATTCCCTTAAAGCCTTAAATATCTTAAAGCACCCTTCCAAAACAGCCCCGGACCACAGAACCTTATGTTGTGGATCCCAACAGGATCCCTGTTGCGACTGATTGGGCCCCTTAACTCTTGGGATGTTCAGCGAAGAACTTGTTCAACCTCACTGTGTACCAAATGTTCTTGGATGGACACGGTGTACCAAATGTTCAGCGGAGAGTGTTGCCTGGTCCTCATATTTTGGCGTGTAGCGAGCCCAAAGTGCTTAAGGAACATAATATCAATTCCATCTAATTCTGGACACCAGGAAAGAATCTAATTTGAGGATCTATCCATCCAAATCCATCCAAGCATTCCTTCCCGAGTTGCCTGACGCACTCTCGCCCTCCACGGCCCGTGCAGCGGCCGACCAAGTCTCCGCCGCCTTCGGTCCGCAGCGAGTCGGTCAGCGAGGTGGGTCTGATCCCTCAACGGTGGGTCAAACCGTTGCAACGTAGAGAGGTCAAAGGAGCCAACATCTGGGGCGAGCGACGTCTGGATGCAAACCACCAAGATGCCAATGACGGACGTTTAAACCTGTTAATAGTATATAAAGCCGCAAAGAGAAACAATGGCAGCCTGGCTGCCTGCATAAAATTTTGCACATGCTTTGCATTACTGGTTCGTTTGTGGCTTGAGTCCCAGAAAGTCCACCAACGGACTGAGACTTGGCTAATGTTGAATCACTTGTTTGGGGAATTTGAAGAACCTGTTGTCCCGAACTTGGACCTGCATTAGATTCCAGCACACACCAAACATCAACTTGGTCAGTAAGTCAACAAGTGTATCCAATCCGATTCCAGTCAGCAAGTAGCTTGCAAAAACTCAGCTGCCTGGTGTCAAACAAAAAGAGAAGCGACCACAGTGCTACCAGTGTCACTTCTGGCTAGTCATGTTCTTCCTGTAGTCGTGGCCATATGACTGGCAAAGCTCAAATGAATGCACAAGTTATTTCCAACCAACACCGAGACACATATAATATATAATATTCAATATATGGTGTTATTTATGATGCTATCTGCACATATTTAGCCACCCTCGCTGTGAGATGCCTCCGTGTTGCCCGGCAGCCACACCAAAAGGAGTTCGGCTGAGGGCTTGCCCACTTCATAGGCCACTGGAAGTACCCGTTCCTCCAGCGTTTGACAGCTGAACAACACCACAAGCTGACTCAGCGTTCCTTGAAAACAATGTGGATTAATATTTTGATTCAAACAAAACACGCTCCCTTTCCCAAGGACACAATCATGAAGTATCATGAAGCAAGATACTATTGATAAACCAGTGGATTGTTTTCAAAAGACTGCTTCCCGTTCATGGTCGTTATCCTACAGCACCACATCTCCGATGGAACGTGGTGATCCTCTTGATCTCTGGCCGATCAACATTTCAATCTGGGCCTCCGGGGTCATCAAGACTGGATCAAAGAGGGTAGTCTGCCTCAGTCAACGAAACGCACGCGCGAGGATCTCGAAAACCGTGGGCCAATGGACTATATCTATATCTACAAAAAGAAAGCGTATATATGATGTAATAGTATAACATATCATATAGCATACTAAAACCACTGAACTCCTAACCAAGTCAGCTTTGCTGGTAGAGTTTGACTGTTGAACCTTCCCTTTCCCATTTGCTGCATGTGATGATCGGATTAGACACAAAAGCCAATCCTGCCCAAGCGACTTTGGTATCAAGAACTGGGCTCACGTTTAAAAGCTCAATGATGCTCAATGCCAAAATATTGGGCTTAAAGTGCACAGAAAAACCTTTGAAATCGTCATGCCCAATTCTCTTTTAAACGACACAAATTACTTTTCCAAGTGCATTTGTTGGTCTATTCCCGGGAATACACATGGTCGGCAACTTACTCGCAAACAGCGTCCTCTCCAAGATTTACTTTCTCGCAAGTTCTGGGGAGTGTATAGTTAATTCACAATACACACAGAAGCTGTTACTTACTTGCATATCTTCTAGCTTCCGAATTCAGCAACAGGATTATCGCATGTTTATCCGACTCGAAGCAACAAACGCCAAACCAGGGTCAAATAGTCTGGGCATGCCAGGTTAACATGCTGTCATTCGGGTAGTTGGAAGGTCTTTGGCTGTCTGGGGTATCTTCCTCTTCCAGTCTGATTGACGGCTCCTGAGTCTGAGCGTGGCGCAGAACCGTTTTCTGCACCATCTCCTCTTCTTCTTGCTCAGCCTTTGGCTTGTTGGCTCTGGCTTGGCTCAGACGGGGGTGGACTGCTGCTCAAACAGGGTAACTCTTCAAAACTTCGATTGATGATAGCCACACCTGTCTTCACTCGATTCTCCAATTGTGACTGGTCAAAGCCAAGCACGAGGTCCCAACATCGATTGAAGAAACGAATTGAACGCCTCTTGCCCATGCCTGCGCAACCTCCACTGCTTCCCGTTGGGCTTTCCGTTCTTGTGCCTCTGAACCAAAGACAGGCGTGAGTCGCGAGATTCAAACAGAAAACAACGGTGTGCACTCTGTTTTGCCCTCCCTCCAAGGGAACTGCACAATTGCCCTTTGGCAAACTGCTTTCCAAAAAAGTTATACATAATTCTCATCAAAAAATGTTCAATATACAAACAATAAGTTCCAATTATATACACATATTATATATATATATATCTATTATATCAATGTCGATTAATCATATTGTAACCAGCCAAATTAACTATTCTAATACAAATTAAAAACAATCATGACCTAAATCCGCCTAAATCCACACCTATTTAAAATGACCAAATTCGCCCTATATCTACATTAATATGTTCCATATCCCCCGAATTTAACTCCTAATTCTAAAAGGACTTCACATCCATGTTGTTGATTGGATAGAGGGTAAAATGACTCAAACATCAGGAGGATGAAAAGTCTTTTGTTGCCGTGCAAAATCGAGACGAGGTGGAACAGGACTGCAGTGCTGGGGCGGCTTCACACACACGATGAACGGTGAAACTAGGACTGCAGTGCTGACTGGGCTCCCGGGTCACTCACTCACAAATTCACGGCAAAGAACATGAACAAAATACAAGACTTTGCGCGAACGCATGGATTGCTACATTTCCAACCAAGTCAAGTCCTTTTGCCATTTGCCTTGAAGAGAAGGATGGAATGCATGATTCAAACACTTAACCCCTGTACAAATTGGACACATCATATCTTGCCCACCAAGGTTAAATTACGTGTGGAATGCCTTTGCGCTGCCTCAGGACCATTTCTTCCTAGAACGCAACTCGATTGAGCCTTACAATACAATAATATGGAAACATAAATGGAGAACTACAACTTTCAAAGCCATTGCCGAAACCTGCGGGGAGCCTTGTCAATGCGCTCTAGATTGATTGTCGGGTCCTTAAATCTCCAAAACCAAAAAGTGTGGTGCCTGGCCGCTTGCAACACAGTTGTAACTTATACAGAACCGCCTGTTGGCACAGGTGAAAACATGCAACACCTTGCAGGATTCATGTTTTTAACGCTTTCGGCCAAGCATCTCACAGCCGATGAGCTTGACATCGAAAGCCATGAACGATTACTCACAAGTGCAAGGTGAATAAAACAACAACCCCCGAGTCGCCTCCCGTTGTTCTTTTGCTTTCCGCTGCTCCTGGCAGCGGCTAATTCACCGTTCTTACCTGGATCAGCCTTGGAACATCGAACAGGCAGTGCCATCAGCCACAAAACCAGTGCAAACATATGCAAATATTGTTGCACCAAGTTTTGTTTTGGAAGGTGGCAAAATCAACAAACAGCAGGCTCAGGCATTTGCAACATGTAAAACCACCCGCGCTGAGGAAACGAACATGCAAGCACGGAGCAGCAAGGTCCCAGTACTGTAGAAACGCTGCAAAAGAAACAAACGTGCGCGAATCTGTGCAAAACATTGCAGGATTTGACCCAATCCGCTACAACAACCATGACGCCCGCACTTAGGAATGGTGCAGTGTCCATCCGTCCGTCCGTCCCCTCCGTCCCTCCGTCCGTCTGTGTGTCGGTCCCTCTGTCCCTCCCTCCGTCCCTATCTCTCTGTCTCTCATGGATCCTTCAAAACGAACACAATCACACGACAATGGTTCTTGTAAAAAGGATCTGTTTCTTTTTTCTGCTCGTATATACCTTAAAGAACAGGATGCTGGATTGGTCCTCAGTCTTGGCTTATTGGAATTGTGTGTTCTTCGGAAACAACTACATCAACTACACTTGGAGTTTACAAATGCATGGCACATGCAATGAGTCACGTGCGACTCTACTAACGAATCCAATTTGAAGAGTCGATGCATTTTGTCCTTCCGTCCTTTTCGGCTGAAGGGAGAGCTAGAAGAGACACGTCATGGCCTGCCTGGCATCAGTGCAAGCAACATTGCCACAACATCGCACCAACCTGCGGAGACCTAATTCAATTCACTGTGAAACAAGGCTTCAGCGGAAAATGACATTTAAAAACAACATGTGTCAAAACTGATCGGTTTGGGAAGTTTGGGTCACAAGAAGCTACTAATGCTACTAGGAACAAGTGCATCACTACTAGTAACAAGTGCCTTACTAGTAGTAACAAGAAGCTACTAGGAAAGGTTTGGGAAGTTTGGGTCATGATTCTGACCAGTTTCGTATTGCCTGGAGCACGGCGCTCCGCAGCTGCGGCCGGGCCTGGTGCACCCACGACACACCAAGGAGGGGTTGGTTGGTGAGAATAGGAAAACAGATGTGTAATTAAATGAGTACATCGGATGATGTATATATATATATATAAAACCTTGGAAACTGGATTTATCAGTTGTGATGTATCTTGCATGATGTATATAACTATAACTTTGGAGTGTATACTCTACAGTAATTGTTCATGTTTTTAAGGATCAAGTGTGATCTCAACAGGTTTAGAGAATTGGATGTAACTAAGCCGTGGGATGTATTGCCAATGTCACACTCACCATAAATTACTAACGTGGTACTTTGGATGATTCTGGTCAGTCTTAGTGTGGATCACAACAAGGGTCCTGCACGCATATATACCCCGAGAATGGTCAACTGTAGAAAATGCTGAATGAGCATAAATCAGCGAGACATGTATTGTTGTGCTGAAGGCATCTGAAGCAAATATGAAGCCAGCAACAAGGTTGGCTCGGACAGTCAAACAATTCTACTAGTAACAAGAAGCTCCTAGGTGCTCCTGGCCATACTACTAGGAGCAAGGACGCTACTAGGGGCTCCTGGCATCGCTACTAGGAGCATTCTTTCTACTAGTAACAAGAAGCTCCTGGCATGTCCCCCTTGCTCTTTCCACCTTCAAGACGAGCAACTGCGTGTTAAAGGAATTCCTTTACCGGGAGACTTCGCCCCATTCCTGTCATACATGGGAGTGTAGTACAGTGGACAAAATCGACCAACTCCTATCACCTGCAAAACCATAAAACTTACCCAAGTCTTCCCACTTCCAGGTATTTCCTTTGGTATAAGTCGTTCACAACGGTACCCACAGCGGTGCTCCTCACAACCGTCACACCATCCGTGGACCTCATCGTGATCTGCCAAGTAGTACCCAGCACTGTAAAGCTCGTCCCGGGCATCCTGACACGAGCGGAACGAACAAAAAGCTTCTTCACAAAGAAAAGAGCAAAGCAAAAGTTACCCTCAGAAACTCAAATTTTGGTTCAACATGTAAATGTACTGTACTACAAATCATGTATATGTATGTATATGTATATGGTCAATTGAGCATTTACAACCAATATTACAACACGTACTCACGTGTACTAGCTAATAAATCGATGCAGTTGAGTTGTACTGTTATACTTCGTCTGTTAAAATCCATCACCTACAAGACGCCAAATGAGCAGGCTTCACCGGGATCTATTCCCAACCACTTGAGACGACGTGGTGTTTGAGTCTCAAACCATCTAGAAAGTGTCTGTGGGGTTCCAGTGCTATGCCAGGAACCTTTTTACAAGTAGCACAGTAATTGAGATCCGACTGGCACGGGGCGTTCCAAGCGCTCGGCAATACACTGAAAAGAACAAACTATATATAACGACATAATATCGTCTGACATAGCATAGAGATAGCAAAGAGGGGGTTGCGGATGCTCCCAGTATCTCATGGTCAAATATGATATCCTAATGTGGGATTATGGGGGTTAAATCCCTGCACCCACCAGGTACACTCTGAACATGAAGAGGTCTATGACACCTGGAGGATCGTTTTGGGTCGTTGCCTGCTGTTGTCTGTGGTCTTCCCCATTGACCTGACAAAAAAAAGGGTTTGATGGATGGGCCTAACGTTTCTTGGAGCAATGGCTTCGCCTTGGCGTAAAAAACATGCGCACCTCCAGGCGTTCCCTCCGCTCCACGCAAAGCAGCTGCACCTTTCAGCAGCCCAGGAGGGGAGGCGATGTCACCATCTTGGAAATAGGGGCTGGTTGCATGCAAAAAGCCTTGACTCAGCTACAGTTACCTCATGTTCACCAGCAGCTCTTTTCGAGTGAAGTGATATGCACGATTCCACACTGCAATGCAGGCTACTTTGCACTAGAACGACAAGCAATTCGGTTGAAAGGACTTGAAAGGAACCCTCTTGGGGATAGGCCCTTCATGTGCTGAATGCAAGGCCTAACCACCAGAGGGCCAAAAGGACAACCGTTCGTTCGGCCAAGCGCAAGTGAAGCGAGCGAAGGACTTGGACGTCTTGTCACTCATTGGACCTCATTCGACCTAGGTGTCCAAGGATCGTCTACATTCACTTGGTACTGTGTATACATATACAAGACCTCGAAAAAAAGCCAAAGCAACTACAACCATATCAAGCCACCGGCAAATTCAGTAGGGTTTATAGCAAACGTAGACTTAGACACCGCGCTCTGCTCCTAGATTTCATTCTTGACCTATACTAGATTGGACACTCCCAGACCGCGATGACCCCGGATCGCCTGATCCAGCTTCCGCTCGTCCTCTTTGGCACGTCGCCGAATGAAGGGCCGCAAGGCAGAGGAATACCTCACGACCCAAGGCACCACGAGTGAAACCGCACGTTCACAGGGCACCGGTGAAACCGGACGTCTGGGAGGTTCAAACACGGCGCTGTTTGCGTTGAGTTTGCCTTGACCTTCGTTTTTGAGGGAGACGAGTCTATATTGCCAGCATCTCAAGTGATCTACAAAGACGAATCTTGTTGGCCTTCTCATTCTATGACATCAAACCCTGTTAGCCTGTTAGTCTTCGGCACTCAAACCAACAAGCCCTTCAGCCTCTTTGGTGGTTCAAAAGGTAGTGATAGAAATGAAATGAACCTGAATAATTCATTCATTACAAAATTACCAATTGCCTGTATAGCATCCTATGAGGCTCTATCCTACGCTCGTCAAAAACAATGAACTCCACCTCTCTCACGATGGCTAAATTAAACCACTCTAACAAACAAATCCATCCCGGCTGGCACTCCATCCTAACCAACAACATATTTGCCGAACTTCAACTGCATCTGTTGGCTTTGGTTTTCCGCTATCGCATGGCCGTCAACTCCAAGTCACTCCGAGAGGTCCACATAGCCCATGGGCTCCGCCGCCACGACCAAGTCGAAGAGCGCCTCACATGTGGAACCTTGAAGTGAAGTTCACTGGCCTAACTTCGAGATAAACAGGACTTGTCTTTCAATTGCCAAGGGCATGGGAAGACTCGTAGTGCTGGTGGCAGGGTGACTTGGGATGAAAAGCACGTTGAAGATCGTTGAAGATCTACTAACTCATCAGATATAATTTGTTTGGGACTGAATGCCTGTTGATTTTTCCGCTGAAATCTGCTGATCTGGGGATGGGTGAAAGGAAGACAATGTCGTTTCGCAAGAAGTCCACCGCTGGCAGCCGATGCTGGCAACTCATCGATGTGCATTCAGTGGTATTCTGGCGGGGCTCCCTTCCACATAGGATAAAACATGATAAAGCTCTGTTATTTGGATGTCTTCAGCTCATCCTGTGAAACTGGTGCGAACCAAATCTCCCGTGAGCCTCGGAACCTGGGGCTCTGGCCGGAGACGCCAACTCTGGGTTTGTGTGGAGGGCCTGCGGAGATGAGGCAGGCCACGCATTTTAGGCCCGCCGTGGTGGTTTCTGGTGAGGATCCCAGGTAGGCAAATACATTCAGATTTGGCTGTGTCCTCCAACACCAACCATGTACAGGTTGTGGTTCCGAAAAGTTCCCAGCTCAAACAAATACAAGTGTATCAGTTGCTATGCGATCCATGCAACAGCCCACATCTCGATTTACATCTTGCTATATCTCCGTCTACTAGGGGCGGCAGTGGAGAGCTGGAATCCACGGCTGGGCCAGTAACAGTAAAGGTGACTTGGGGGACCCTGGAGACGTCACACAAAGACTCCACGATCCGATGAGAAATCTGGGCATTCGATGTCTCCATGTCTAACATGTTTGCCGTGGTGCTGAGGATCAGGCTGAGAGGACCAGCTGCGGGCGTCACTGAATGTCATCCTGTACCTTTGGTGAACCTAGCAGCTAGCATAATTAAATGGAATTTGTCAGTCATGATTTAACTTTGCTTCGCTCAAAAAACAAACCCGAACCCGCCGCGCCTCTGGCACGGGAAGTAGGATGCAAGTCACGCCTTTCCAAGGACCTCGAAAACACAAAGACGTCGCGGCAAGTCAGTTGACCAGGACAACTAAAAGAGACAGGAACTGGGAGAAACCCGCCTATCACGTCATTATGTGCGTGACAGACTCACCACCAATATGGCTTTACGACACACATCAAAGTTTGGGTGTCAACCCCTCAAAATTCGCTCTTGTGAGACGCACCTGAATCACCTGAATCTCAAGGATTCAATAGGTCTGTAAAGAAAGCCTTTTGGCTGAAACCACTGGCTGAAACCCTTTATAGGCAGGCTTTTTGGATCGAAACCCTGCGGAAACCAACTCGGAGGATGTCACGAGTACGGTCTGATAGTCTGATCCGTGTGGATGAAAAATGCATCACAATGTTTCAAACAGCAAACGTATCGAGAACGGCAAACGTTTTGGCTGTGGGTGGTGTGTCGTATGCTCCACTTCCCCAACTCTACTCCGAAAAACCAACACCACTGCAAGTGGTGAGACATTTTGCCACTTCAATTCAGAAGGTGGTTTTGCGGAAGAACCCTCCTTTGGGCTTGGAGCACACTGAGAACATCCACCTGTCCCCCTTGATTGCTTGGGGGTAAACCCTTGGGGAGATCCAGCGTTGGACAAGTGACCTTCGCTCAGGCGCTCAAGCGAGGTATCCGCCAGCACAATCTGGCGCAGCGGCCGTTTGGAACGACCTATATAGAATCAAATAGACATGACCCTGCCTCCTTACTTGATTAAGTAGGCGCCTACTTAATTAAGAGCAACTAGTTAGCTTCTAGTAGCCGGAAGGAAAGCTCACGCACTATTTATTTAATATGTGGCTTGTAGATTTTTGGATTTGCAACGCTCAAACCACCCACACCACCAAAACCTGCACTCGCTTTAATTAATTGAATCAATGCCACCTGCACAGCTCGGAGACCTCTAATCGGTCAGGATCTTCTTCAGCAAGACATGACACCCAGCTACAGAAGAAGCCTTGAAAATGCTGCCCCAAAGCAAAAGTTTGCCCCTCTAAGGCCCGTCAGGAGGGTTTGGAAGACTATTTCCCTCTACCGACTCTACCAACACAAAGGTGCTGGCCTACAAACTACAGGAGAGTATGCTTGACAAGGGAAACGGACTCTTCGTGCAACACGAATCCTTGGATCATCACAATCTGGTCCCTCTCTTCCAGTTGGATTCGCTCCCGAGAGTGAAGACTGGGGTGGATGTGATAACATTTTGTATGACAAATGCATTTAAGTGCTAGTGAGTTCCTACATCAGAGTGAACAGGCTGCAGGGCTCGCTCTTTTGTTTCCTCTTGCTCGGCATCCATGGCTTCTGCAATATCCAGCAGCACTGCAGCGTCTGAGCCTGCATAGCCTTGGCATGGATGGTCAGCGCCTTTGATGCACTAGCGGCAAGCTGGAAAGGCAATGACATGGGCAACTCGTCGAGAAAACACTTTGATTCTGGAAGACAAGCTGCAAAGCAGCTGCAAAAAAACAGCAACCTTCAGGATTGCTTTGCGCCAATGGTTTACACCCGCGAAAGAGACACAACAGGCGTCAATAATTGAGCTAATGAAATTAGGATGCGACTTTTCTGCCGGCTCGACTATCCGCATTTGAGATGACACGTAGATGACTCAAGCGACAGTCTATATTCTCAAACCTGGATTTGGTCCCATCACCACTTCTCCCCACTACTGCTCCCCCACTTCGAAATTCCATCGGAGTGACGAATCTGCTCCGCGGACAGTGGTCGCTGGTCCCAGTTGGAGCACTGCAACGACTTGTCCTGGGCGGACGCTGCCCAGCATGGATGGATACTCGTACACACACACATGGACTGAATGAGGGCAATCTGCAACCAGTCCAAAATCTTGGGCAAAGGAGCAAGCCTTACTCGAGGTTTGGGCAATCCCTCGTGTCCCTGGAGGAAGGGCTTAGCAATCTAGATCCTGCTTACTGTAATGATATTGTAACGTAAAATGAATGACAATGAATGATATATATATATATATCATCCCCTTTGATATTAGCACAGAGGGGTCGTTCCACCCATTCTCTAGAGAATCATCTAGAAAATGAGGGGGCCTGACACCTGCTGCCTCTAGAAAATGTCCATGAACATTCTGTTCATTTTCTAGTGGGAGAAAGCTCACTAGAAAATGGTGGGGTACAGGTTCAGAGGTCGTACCCCCAACAGACTAGACTTGCTCTTTCAATCAGCAGAATGAGTGCTATACTCACTGGTGCTTGTTTTTTTTTCAACTTGTTGATCTCTAGAAAATGCTCCTCTAAAACCCCTATCCAGGCTCTAGAAAATGACCCTAGAAAATTTGTGGTCATTCTCTAGTGAGGTACCTCTCCTCTAGAAAATGGTGGGGTACAACCTTGGAGGTCGTACCCCCGCATCAGTTTTCTAGAAAATGACCTTGTTCTAGGGGACCACGACCCCCCCCCCATTTTCTAGAGGAAATAGCAACAGGGATTATGTATCTGTCAGTAATATCTTGTGGCCGTCACTATATTTTCGTGGACGCCCACTTGACATCACTTGGGTTGATGGTCAAAGTCCCAAAAGTACTTGTTGGGGCGGTCTCCGTAAGACACAACGATGCAGTCAACCAATCAAAGATCTCACTCACCCTAAACCCACCCACAAGGATGGATGGAATGCTTGGCCTACTTGCAAAACATTGAGATACCATGAAAAACAACACGATCCGCGGACAACGCGTTTGCAAGATCCACGAAGGGGTGGTTCCCATGATTCACACCTAAAATGGTAGGTGAAAGGAACTTGCTGATTCTCCTCACCTGCGAATTCTCTGGGGTCTCTTCTTCAAGCCATCGCCAAAGGCCGAGCTAGACCGAGCTGCGAGCAACTTTCCGAGATATACCTCGCAAAGTCGACGAAGGCCTGCAAGAATCTTGCAGGCGATTTTTTGGAGGACAGTCTTTGAAGCTCTGCGTGGCTTTTCAACCACTGCAAAATATGTCTTGCACTGCAGCATGACTGAGAGACTCAGAACTTGGACATGGTGATCCACGACCAGAAGATGTCAACTTCTCCTGCCTGGCATGTGGCCATTCTGAAAGAGGACCCTGGCATGGCATCTCGCCTCCCGCTGTAAATCTCGCACCTGCAGGTCCAGCGACACGAGGAAAAAACACGAATAGGCAATAGAGTTCCAACAAACATGTAACTGGTGATGTAACTGGACCCTTTAGTATGATTGTTTGCTTCACGAGTATCATGTCAGGGTTCTAGACTTGACTTATCAATTTGAAGATCCTTTAAAACTTAAAACTTGATTAAATCATGTGATTGTGTGGGCCCGCCAAAAGATTGCAACAATGCTACCCAAAAGAGTGGTTGAAGAACGCTTACCAAACCTAGGATCCTCTCTCTGCACCAGCTTTGATTCATATATTATATATAGAGAGAGATACAAATAGATAGATAGATAGAACGTAACAATCAAGGACCTTGGAGTGACACAGAACCTTTAACACAGCATGGATAAGTATTGTTGTGTTCTAGAGATCATGGAGAGGTATGATCTACATGTTGACACATTTTGCGATTGGTCAGGTTGAAGAGACACAAGGAAAATGTTGGCAATGGCAGAAGCACTGCTTCCGAAATGTGTCCCATAATTGGCTGTTTGCCAGACTGAAACCTGGATACTGCAAGGTGCTTTCGGATTACAGTAGTTTTACATCGTTCAGATATTGAAAACGATGATTTATGATGTCTTATAGATGTCAATTAGATCTCTATAGCGTTTATGACACAAAACGTGTCCGAGGTCGAAAACCCATGAACACCCGTGGCACCTGTGTCCAATCCGCCGCTGCTAAACGCTGTAGTCGCTCGGCGTCTGAGGAGAAGTGAAAGCCCAGAAGCTGGATCTGACCACGTGCGAAATGGCTTCAGACGCAACAAATGATACAAATGGCGAACCGGGTCACCGTGATTGTTCAATTTTTAAGGTCCTCTTTGATCTTGGTTTGACTGCTTGCATGTCGGCCAAAGGATAGGAGCCTAATCAACTCCAAACAAATCCTTTCACGTGCTTTCCTCGCCTTCGGCTGAGAGTTCAGCCAAAGCAACAGGCTGCTCAGCTGGCTGGAAATTGCCAAGGCATCGATCACCCAAATCGTCCCTGAGATCGCCAGCTGAACAACCTCGGGATCGCAAAGCAAAGGAGGAGCCAAACTGCTTTTTAGTTGCCTTATTCGCATCGAAAGCGTCGTTTTGCAGGGTACTTTGGGGGATGTGAGGCACAAATTTAACAACCTCAGAGTGCGAAACAAACGGAACGTGGGTTGTCAAATATCCTTCATCGAGGTCCCTCTCGTCAAGTTCCAAGAAGCTCTTTGGATTTGGGCCATCTAGATCCATCTAGTAGATCTATCCAGAGAACACAAAGACAACTGGCGGAACCAAGCCCCTGAGAAATAATCTATTCATCGTATTCATTCTCAACCCTTTCTGGCATGTTGCATCTGTTCCGTGCATGTGTTGAGCTGAAGCTAATGACGATGTGGTTTATTCCATTTCTAATTGAAAGCCCCAACATGATCAGGATATATATGGTCTGTTCATGTCTGTTGCCTATCTCCGAGATCGATCCCCAACCATCATGGCCCAGACACCGAGGGCCCTGCTTCTGGCTGTGAGCCCCACTCTGAATCGACACCCACCTGCAAGGCTCTCCCGCTCTGAGCACTCGCAGCTTGGACGGCGACGTGCGACTCCTGAGCACCGACGCCGATCAGGACAGTTGGCCAAGACGCAGGAACGTCAGATCAGAAGTCGAGGATGGCCACCGTTTTAGTATGGACCGGTGGGGAACAAGTCGAAAAAGTAAGGCAAAATCACACACCTTTATGGTTACAACCGGCTTGTTCCATCAGCCGGAGCTGATCCTTAAGATGTTGGGTCTGCCTACTTCCCTAGCGATTAGCGATTTCCGGGCACGGCGCCCACCGTCAACGGAAGGTGAGACACCGGATCCATATGCCATATACCCTTCCAAGTTCGCGAACAAAGAAACTGACAAAGGATGTCCTCCTCTTCCTAAACTGCCAGGCCCGTCCATGTTGCTCACCCCACTGTGGCTCTTCAGCAAGCCACCAGGGTCTGTTGAATCCTCTGCAGCTCCTCCGCACGGTCCACCCAAAGGACCTCCTGCGTCACCTCGTACAGCGGCAGGTCGGGCGATGGCCGAGACCTGCGTGGGATCCACTTTGGGCCGAGACCGTTGGATCGGATAAACAGTGAAGCGCGAAACAATGCACAAAGGAATGATATGAAACTCCATGAAGGAAGAGGATGGAAGAGGTAGAACATGCGGTGTTCTGGCTTTGTAGGGGTCACATCTTTGTAGGACACAGTACTATCTTCACCTGACCCAAGGAGCTTTTCAGCAAAACCGTCTGTGTCACTCACCTTTCTACCCTTACTTGGTTCTTGGTGTTCCATATGGTTTTGATGAATAGCTTATCGATGCGCTGCGCACAGTGTAAAGGTCGAGGCGAGGAAGCGATAAGCAGGAGGGGAGGAGAAACACAAAAGACCAAGAGAGCAAGGCCACAGCCCAAAGGTAGGTTTGCTAAACATTGCTTGTCGATGCTTGTCGATTTGTTGTCGTTTCCGTTATCGTTC